AGAGGAAGGCCAGCTGGGTGCCGAACACAAGAACGCAAGAAAGCAAGCCAATGACCTCATGCTCCTGGCCAATCCATTCCTTCAGAAGGATGGATTGGATGGCGATGATGGCAAGCTGCGCAATGTAGGTTAAGACGAAGGCGACGAAGAGGTTGAGGATCCATGAGCGAGGGATGAACTCCTTTCCTGGGCTGTTGGCAGCGCGAAGGGTCTGGAGAGTGCAGACGGCAATGGCAGAAGCAACGGCAAAGTAGGTGAAGGCCACAGCCGGATAGAGGTAGTGGATGCTGTCGAGAAGCTCTTCGAGAGATGCCATTGCGGCGGGTGTTGGTGAGGATGTGGGGAGCAGACCCGAGCCCAGGGAGCGATTGGACGGCAGTATGGCAGGGGATATGGATGTGCCAGTCAAAGAGGCTGCCAAAAAGCGAGAATCGGCAGAGAAAGGCTCGACAAATGACAGTTGGGGAGGGTGTAAGAACTGAGAGAAGTGCGATAATGGGTGAATGACGAGAGGATATGCCAACAGCTCGGGCCAGGGATCGATGGATGTGATCCGATATTGTCAGGCCGCAGCAGGGGTGGCGCAAAACGGGGAAGGCGGGAAGGGCTTCCTGCCGGGTACTGGGTGTTCTGTTTCGTTTCCTTCCCCGAGTTCTGTTGCGGTTTGCAGGCGTGGTGCAAGCAAGGATGACGATGGTGGGAAGAGACACCGAACGGACCTGGGCGGGCAGACGTGCGTTTCGTTGGTTGGTTGGTTCCAGGGGGTTCAAGTTGGCGATGGTAGCTGATATGGGCGATGCACGGTGATACAAGGCGATGCAAGACCGGCCAAGCAAGAGTCGATAACAGCAAGACAGCCTTCTGCCTCTAGAAAGGCAAGTCAAGGTGAAGAAGAGAGAAGCAACTGAAGTAAGGCAACGGCCTGGCTAGGGGACCACGGTATAGACGGGCAACGCGATGGGAGAAGGAGATGGAAGGGGAGAGAGGGGAGAGAGGGGAGAGACAGATCAGGATAGTTGATGGACGAGCCGTCCAGGTTCCTTGGTGCTTCTGTTGAGAAAAACGGATCCTCGAGAGCGCGATAGAGTGGAAGGCAGACAGAGGGAGAGGCGGTCGAGAGAGGATATGCGCGTGTCGAGCCAATGCAATGCAAAGGGCAGGGCGGCCTAAGCGGAGGGAACGTGGACGTGTGAGGACGTCTCAGAAAAAGGGAGCCGCAGGGTGCAAAAGCTCTTTCCTCGGGTTCCCTTTGACGGTGTCGCGTCCCTTCCTATCTGTTCCCAACTCCCTTCCCAATCCGGACTGGCGAGGAAGAAGGAGGCAAGGCCAGGGAAGGGAAGGTCCGTCCGGGTAAGAACAGGCCAGGTGAGGTGAGGTGAGGCAAGGCAAGGCAAGGCAAGGCAAGGAAGGTCAGGGTAAGTACGGTGTGGAGTCCTTCCCCCGATCAAGGTGCAGGGAAAGACGCGGGAGGGGAGACAACCTGGGCCCGTCCCTTCTCCCTGGAACTCGCCTCGAAAATTCAGTCCCAAAATGCACTGGGCGCGCAGCTCTGGGAAATGGCGACAATCCCAACCGTATCTCGTCTATTTGCTGCTCGCCCTGCGTTGGTTGGCGGCGCTGCTGCTGCCGCTGCTTCTGCACGATGCGCGTGCGGCCCTGGCCAAAAGCGACCACTGTCTCTCGGGCGTAGCACCGACACAAGAACGGACAACAGGACCAGGGATGGCAGGGAGGACGCGTCTCCGATTCTGCAAGAGCCGAGCCTTTTCTCGACACCCTCGTCCCGTCTCGCCTCGTGTTGCTGCTGCTCTGTGGCCGCCTTGCTTCGCCTCAACCCTAAGGCAGTCAGTCGGCCTGGGAATCCGGACGGAAGACAGCGAGCGCCCTTTCAATTCCCCCAAACCACGTTTTTCTGACGACTTCCCGTTCCGTATTCGGTAGCAAAGCAACCACGCTGCAAGTTGGCTTCGTTTTGTTCTCCCAACCAACCAGTCAAGCGGTTGAGATGATGATGCTTCTGCGAGCTGAATATGCACCACGGAAGTGACGGAGAGAATTCTCCTGAAAAGGTCCCGAGGGGAGACAGTCGTGTCACCCAAGCTGTGCGATGCTCCCGACCCCAGTCACTCTGGCGGCGGCAAATGAGATGGCCAAGGTGTAGATGGCGATTCCGACTGGATGTTCTCAGGCCATCAACCGGGATTTGACGGTGCAGCTGCGTCTCCACGACGAGGGTTTTCTCTCTCTCTTTTTTTTCTCCCTTTTCGTACCGGTAGGTAAGTGGTTTGCTGTTGGTTTGCTGCCGCCGTTTGGGCTGGTACAGTTCGATTGCTGATCAGAAGAAACAGAACCGAAAGAGAGGCGTTGGCTTGCGTCTAACAAGCTCGACAGGAAATGTTTGGATCAACTGTTGAGGTCTCCGTCATGACTCAGATATCCATCAAGGTTCCGGATGTTGCAAACAGCTTGGAATGCAATATGAGAAAGGGGTGGATACACCAAGCTCCAGACTGGCCTGTCGGGGGCGATTTGTTTGTTCAACTTTGCACACCCTGTCCTGTCCGGGTTTGCCCTGTCCGTTGCTCTTACACGGGCCAGAAGAAGGGATGTTGTGGGATCTTAAAGAGCAAGAGCCCAAGCGAACGAGCGAGCGAGCGATGTGGCAGTGAGACTGGGAGCCTGGCACAATCGATACGGCTTCACTTGTGCGCACCTACGTCGCAGGATTACGAGAGTGTGTGAGCGTGTGGACGGATGCGCGGGGGATCGAAGAAAATGGGCCGTGGTGCGGATGCACGCTTGGCGTCATCTCCTGCGAACGGGAGCTGCGGACCTTTAAACCAAGTCTACAACTCCGCTGCCGTCGTCCTCATATTCTGCCTTGGCCGTGGATGCCTGGGGGGCGGTCATCCAACATCAGCATCAATCAGTTGCACAAGCCGCATTCCCGCTTCAAGGTCCACCAAACTGCCCGGGTTCTCTGGCACGAGATGGCGAATGCAGAATACGGGTACCCCAGGAAAGACGAGCTCGTGTGTCTCGCGACCCAAGCATGGAACGCGCGCTGGACGCCCACATCCATGAGGGTGTCTTGCACACCGTAGAGCCACCATGCTGCCTGTTTCCAGGCACTCACCGACCCGTACGCTACGATCTACCATTGGCCTCGGCACGAGAATAATACGAATTGCTTCTCCCGCGCAGTGCGATGCTCTGCCTTGAATCCCGGGGCTGTGGCTCGGCTTACGCTGACTGAGTGGGTGTGGTGGTTGTGGGAGGCCTGGCAAGGCGCACCTCTGTGTTGAGATGAGATGGGACGGGATGGTGGGTTTTGGGGCGCTTTGGGCACAACAGAGCCCGCCATGCGCGGCGACTGAGAACCCCAGTCGGCCATCAGCCCAATCGTCAAGGGAGCCCCCAAATTTCAGATTCCCACGAGCCCTGGATGCGCAGCTTGCATATGCGCGGCACACCCATCGACACCGAGCGATTGTACAAAGTCGATGTATAGTTACGATGCGCCCCCAGCACAACAATTTGTTCCCGTGAGCAGTTGGAATACCAATCGGTTGGTAACACTGGCTGACTCAGTGTGAGTCTCTGCGGTTGCTCGTGCAACATTCTCATCACAACCGCCTCATCTCTGCCTGCAGATGCCATCGCCTTGAGTCACAGTCTCACCTCAACGACTGTTGGCACAACCTCTTCTAAGCTGCTGTGCCTCTTCAAACATCTACCGACAGCCAAATTGGAGGCTGGCTTGGAAGCCAAAAGAGCAGTGGAGTCTCAGCCCGCTGTCAGCACACACCCACCAATCGAGACCCGGGTTACGCTGCTGCTGCAGCTCCAGTTGGGGAGGGGAGGGGGCGGCGTGGCGCGGATCGCCGGTTCTCAGCGCACGGCATATCCCTGCAGATATGCAAGGCACTTGATGTCACCCTCACCCACGAATCCAATTACCTTGAGGTCCGGAACTGGGACAGGAATGCACCAAGAGTCACCAGCCCAGCATCACCTTGCGTCACAGCTTGTTCAGATGGCTAACGGCAGGTTGACCGCTGTTCTGAAACATTTAAGCCGCTTTTCGAGCTTCGAATATTGAGTCCATTGATGGCGCACTTTGATTAGCTGTAGGCGCCATGGACCAATTGCAACCACACACCAGGCCCTTGGGCCTTCAGAGTTTGGATTTAGCCTCCACCGGGTGGCTTCCGGCCTCCCGCTGACAGCAAGCCCCGGTACAAAACGGCCACCGTGAACGTTCACCAGAAAACCGTCTTGAAAAACGTTGTGGCTGGCTTTACCCGTACCTCAGATGCCAAGAAGCATGCCGCCCGTGGTCCGGATCTGGCCATCCCAGCTGTGGGATTTCACCTGTCTCACCGCTCATGATCTCAGTGGCATGAAAAGCAATATCTCGCTGCACCCCTGGCTGGATTGCAAGGGCATCCTGCTGCACCTTTGCTTACTGGCGCCCCGTCTCCAACAAAATGTTGGGGTTTGATGAGCCCAATTTGGCGTTTCCCAGGCTTGATCATCCTTTGGGTCTGGCCTGGCTGGGGTTTGTTGCCTGATTCACGCGACGGAAGATTCGTATCGGCCGACACATGGGGATGGAAAGTGTCTGAAATGGACGCGTGCACGACGGGCATGGTAATAATCAACTACCCCCTTTGGCTCATCGTTGCTTATCAGCACCAGCATGAGCATGAAAACATGAGCGTCGGCATGAACGTCAACACTGATTGGCATAGCATCCGCCTTCCTCTTTCTCTCAACCCTGCCGGGTACCGTACCTTGCCTCACCATCCGTTGCTGCGAGCCGGGCCGAACACAGGGCCTTCGCCCCGCGCCTCGGCTCCGGCAACTGAGAATCAACAAGTCACACGGTTCCGACCCACCACTCACTTATCTCATAACGGTCTGGTGGGTCGCACAAAGTGTCGAAAAATCGAAAAAAGAAACCCGCAAAAAGATGAATGTCAATCGCTGACGGGAATTGAGCCCGACGTGGCTAGTATGTGTTAGTTGCAATGATCATGCCTGAGAAGGATCGAATAAGCGCTTACGGGTCGAACCCACAACCTTGAGATTAAGAGTCTCACGCTCTACCGATTGAGCTAGCCGGGCAAGCGGCTTGTAGTGGATGAACAATCGTGGACCTGGAAGCCATCATGTTGGTGCTGGTACCCTGCCAGGCGGGTCCGTCCCCGGCCAGTCTTCTTCCACGATTGACTGATCTCTCTTTCTCGTGTCTAGGTGACTTACATGTCGTGGAGGCGGTGCACAGGAACCTATGTATGGGGGCCCGTTCGGTGGTGGGCGCTTCCTTTCTTAGGGCTGATGGATCAATTAGGTGAGCTGTGTTTAAGACACCACATGCCAAAGTTCCACAGAGGTATGTGTCCGAATAGCGATCACGGAGCCGGGATTCCAGAGAGAGATCCCGTGATTAGGTTAATGTGGCGGAGAGGCTTGGAAAGGACATTCCTCGCCAGGGTGATCTCGCCGAAATCCGCCCCGAGGTTGGAGAAGCTTTGAGGCGCTGGGTTTGCATAACCCCGAAACTTGGAATCTGATGGATGATGCGTTATGAGACAGGGAAGCGCAGAACCCCTAGAAAGACTCGTTCACTGAGTTTCAAGACAGATTTTGTAGTTTATCAAGTGGAATATGGCAGCTCATGTCTTCAATTTTCTCGTCATCTCCGTCTCGAAAGGTGCACTTCAACCTAGCAAACGACTAGCAGGCGTCTCTGATGCACCTCCGCCTCCCTCAACTGCTGCCGGTGACATAGTATACATGAGCCAGAGGCCCCGAGAACTTCCACCTTGCCTCCTTTCAGCCTAGAAGGCCCTGTACTCGACGGCACGCTCCTCCACTGCCCGCATATGCTCCGCATAGGTCATGGGGCCGAACACGGGCAGGGAGGCAGGGGAGAGAGGGCGACGGGGATACGGAGGCAGGGGCTGCGCTCCAAGGGTCCTGGCCCTCTCGAGCTGCTCCTCGGTAAGGGGAAGAGGGGATGGCAGGCGGGTGCCCAAAGGCAGCTGACGAAGGCGGCCGGCGGGGTCCTGTATCGTTCTCGATGTATTAGAATGCGAAGTGCCCGCGAAATGGGGTACTCACAAGCCAGGAAGGGCCAACGCCGATTCCCTGGTGCAGGCGCGTGGCCTGCGCGGCCAACTCTGCAGGAGAGTAGCCTCCGGCGCGGGAGACGTTGGAGACGGTCCAGCGGCGCGGACCATCCTAGGGAAGGCGGCCGCCTGGAGATCCGTCTCCGCTGTCGTTGCCGCTATCATCCTCGGCAGCGGCCCGCTCGGCGCGGTGGAAGGTGAGGCGCCGACTGTTGACGGCGCCCGGAATGGGGATGGGGAGGGACGCGGATGCGCTACGAGAGCGAGAGCGATGGATGGAGTCGACGGCGCCGAGGGCACGGTCGCGGCCAGTGACTGGGGAGAGACGGCCGAAGGAGGCGGCAGAGGAGGCGGCGGGGACTTGCCGCTGGTGCCGCTGGTGCTGGGCGAGGGCCAGGACGTTGTCGGCGCGGAGGCGGACACGGCCGCGTTCCTCCTCGGGGGAGCCGCTGTTGTCCTGTCTGCCTCGTTAGTTGCTTGGTTCCAACGGGTCGAGAATTTTGCATATATTGACCTCGGCGTCGTAGGCTGGTCCACGAGACATGGTTCTTGTGACGTCCTTGACGAGGCTTGGCTTTGTTTCGTCGGTATGGGAGTCTGAATGGGCAAGGGGGCATCCGAAGAAACCCGTCGACGAGAGCGCTTACGCGGTCGAAGAAGTTGCTGGCCCTTGCTGGGAGGGGCAGAGGTATGCTGAAAGAGCTGGAAGAAAGGCCTAGACGCGGATTGATGGCATAGAACGAGACGAATCCACACAGCAAGAAAGGCAACGTCGAGAACTGTGTGTTTTCTTTGCTTTCATGTAGTGGTCGCGAGGCTGGTTCTGGTGAGTGAAAGCATATGCGGATATGAGTTTGGAAACGGGACAAGAAGAAGAAGACAGCGAGGCAAGAAAAGAAGAGAAGCAAAGGAGATCTAGGGCTGACCACGCGTGAGTTAGTCGTGAGCTGTCCCATCACGACTCATCCTCGTCATGCCGTGACTTGAATGTGGTGGGTGAAGTGAGAGCGGCTGGTAGAGAATGATGTCGTTGCGGTTTCGACCGGACAACGAGGTTGAAGCTCACCATGATTCGATACGCAAGAGCAACTGCGGCACCTCGATGAACAAACACCTTTCCTTTATGATAGCCTCCTACCACACCTGAGGGTATCTGGGGGCGACATCGAGCCATCGTCAAGGAGACTTCTATTGCTCTGCCATAAACCTCGTCCCATCATGCTTTACGTGGGGGAGAGCAATGTTGCGTCAACAACCTCCTTAGCATGGCTTTGCTTTGAATTACTTGCTCTTGAAGACGTCACAAAAGCTGGGACTGGAGAGAGGGGGCACTTCGACCTGAGTCAGGAGACCATGAAGATCAGTTCTCCCATATTTAAGATACCAGAACTCCTGCTAAGTATGTAACGCCGTCTACGGGAATTTGTAGTGGCATACCTGCTTCTCTGTCTTTACCAGACTGCCCTGCTCTTCTCGTCCTTTCACCTCTTTCCTTTCTCACGGCAATACTCCTCGTACCTCTGTTGATTTTTCCCCATGGCTGCGTCCCCAACCTCCTTCCACTTCTTGCTCACAAACTTGTCGACCTCGTCCTTAATCATCAGACCCAAACCATCCCTGAGCTCTTTCTCGGGTACCACACCATAGCTTTCGTCTCCTTGGAAGATGATACTCTTGAGGGCCTTCCTCAAGCCGCCGCGAAACTGGCATCTCTTAGCATTGGATGGGTCGGCAGGAACAATGTCGTCAATCGTCTTGAGGACATCTGCCCACACTCTGTCCTCGCTTCTGCCGCGGACTACATCGAGGTGGACACGCTTGTACCATGGCCGGATACAGAAACGGTCAAAGGCCAACTCCGTGACCTTCAACCAAGTGACCTTTTCTCCGAAGAAGCGGCCTTCCGCTTGGCAACGGGGGACGAATTCTTCGTGCCACTGGCGGAAGGCCGGCCGGCATTTCAAGCGCTTCCTGTCCTTAGACTTCAGCTTCTTTCGGGCTGGCTCCTCTCTGTCGTTGCTGGGCTTTAGTTCTGACGCGGTTGGAGGTCCTGGTCCCGCTGACGTCGCTGGCGTCACAGGATCCGTTGGCATTGGCGACCCTGCGGAGCCTGGTGCGATTGATGGTGTGGCTGGCTCTGTCGACATTGGTGAGCCAACTGACTCTGTTCGTCCCAACTCTTCGTCGTCTACGTCAGGTTGAGCGCAAAAGAAACGGCAGCTGGCAGCGTACTCGTACATCTCCTGGCGGGATGCAAAGGGCTCCGAATATCTGGCGATGTCGAGACCAAGGAACAGAAGAACCTCGGCAGGGTCTCTTGTCAGGCGGATCTTGGCCATGCTTTTGTACTTTTCAAACCTTTCAATGTCTGGGTTCCGCAAGAAAAGGGCATGTCCATCAGCAGTGAGCATGTACGGCTTGATGATAGTTCCGAGGATGCTCCAGAGATCGCCGTGTGCGTGCTTGAATAGGATCCATTGCATTTGCTGCAAGGAGTCGCAGATGGTAATGTCAACCTGAATATATCGGCCCGTAGCCTCGTTATTGTCGACGCTGGCATCAGAGGATGGCCATGGAATGGCGTAGTGGTCGCCGACCTTACCGAAGATGGTGTACTCGGCGCCTAGGGCAGCTCGGATCGCTTGCCGTGCCTCGTCGCGGGACATGAGCGAATGACTTGGTGAACGCTCCTGTCCTTCTTCGTCATCAACTCCATCGTCCCCTTCGTCGACATCATATTCGTTAACCTTGTTCCTCTCGCACGCGGCCGCTGGGGCTGGCGCAACGCCGGATCTGCCCTGGAAGGCGGCTTTCTCCCAGGTGACGAGGATATCAATGTCGCCGAAGTCTTCCTTCTCGGGTCCTTCTATGGGACTGGCAACGCAGACGTAAAGTTCTCGCAAGGCTACGGTGCACTTTGCTTTGGCATGCTCGTAGACCTTGGCTGGCATGCGCGGAGTATTGAGAGCGTGCTCGCCCGAGGCGAAAGCGGAACCTCCCATGGTGGGCGGATCTGAGTTGAAGGGTTCGTCAATCTTTAACTGTTACATATCAGTATAGTTCATGACGGGCTTGTCTTCCAACGTACCTCAGTTGTGCGGCATTGTCATGGAACTAGAGACTGGTCCAGCGCACATGTGGGTGCGAGCAAAACCGGGGGGAAATGGTTGGCGCAGGAGATATGTGTGGCGATACAGTAGTGATGAAGAGTGCATGTATGGGCCGACCTTTGATGGAAAACTTGATGATGGACGAGGCAATGCTGGCTGATTAGGAGATGCAGGGCAGAAGCTGCAGTGACTCAATGGTCGGAGCGTGACTCGGACCGCCGCGCTACCGGTACGCGCCGCCGCTCTGTTGAGCAAGAGGAACCGCAGTCGCGAACAGAGGAAGGATCAGTCCATGGATCTGTTTCTAGTTTCCTGACACTTTTCGGGTGGTTACCGTGGAGAGCGCTTGGTTTGGAAGGGGTTATTTGCAGGGGTTGGTGAATTTGAATGGCGGGGTAGGTGCCGTGGAGCCCACGAGGACTTGCTTGTATGGACAGTTGTGTGATGAGTTAGAAGATATGAGACATTAGAGATAGATTGATAATTGAACGACACCAGCGGCTTCCTCTGATATGGGAAGGTTTTGCCCGGAGCATGAGAAGGAATAAGGAATTGGAGACCAAGGCCCCGTTTGTTGCCGGAAGGAGTGGTGATGTTTGTACTGTACGGAGTTCTATTGACACTGTCAAACCACAGCACAAACAGGTGGCCGCTTTGTTAGACCACAAGCTTTCGTGGAATCAAGAAGGCGAACACAAGAGGCGGAGGGAGCTGAAAGCAACCTTTTGGAATCTGGAGATTGAATGCAGATACCGAGAACAGCTAGGGACTGTTCTCATTTTGCAACAGATCAAGATACGCCAGTCGGCGTGCGATGTTCCTTGGTTCCCTCAGCAGCTACTCAGCTGCAGTGGCACACAAGAAGGAAGCTGCGGGGGCCTCG